TGTGTCTTTCACAGGGTGAAAATATTTGATTAAACAAACACTTGTAACATTATTCCCCACTATTGTTCTGCAGTGATTTCGGGACAGAATATGCCTACTACTTGATTCAAAAGGTAGAGAAAGAACAGTTGCCTACAGGCAAGGTGGGGCAATTTTCACTAAACACTAAACCAGCTCGACCCTGGCACCCACAGCACAGTAGTGCCAGCTTTGTTACGGACAATCTCTTTTCCGTCACAGCATTTTAAAGCTGGTGTTTTGCTCAGCACCCTGCCCTCCACGCTGATGCAGCAACACCTTATTGACTCAGTACTGCAAGACTCCGTAACCCACGTAGGTAATGGCAGTAACGCAAGCATTGCCTCAGCACGGTAGGTTAAGGGCTGCAGCCCAGACGGTGCTAACTGCCACGAGCTAAATCTCCTGCCCTTAACGAAGTACCCCAGGAGACACAAAGTGCTTTCATCCTACCTTTGTAGCATTTGCACTTTAAACACGTGGGAGAACCAGCAGCAGAAGTTCCTTTTTTCAACACTTCCCCCCAGGCTCAGCCTCCCTGTACTCTGGCCCTAAACCTGATCTATTCTCCTGGCATTTGAAGAACAGCACATTTCAATCACCGCTCCATAAAGCTCCCTGGTGTTTGCTCTGTTACGTCCTGCTGTGGTTCTCTTTCGGCACTCGCGTCTCACTCTCCAGGCAGGTGAGCTGTGGCCGGGGAATCGCTTATGCACACTCAGCGGAGAGGGGAAGAGCAAGAGAGGAAGGGGACACCAATACCCAGCACCAACAGAGTCAGAAGAAGGGATATCTCCTTGTCTCCACCTCACAGTTCTTTTTTTCCCCTCCCATAAGCCTTCTCCATCTGTGCCACTCCCCTCTCCTTCCGTATTTGTGTCTTCTAGCTCCTGCCCAGCACCTCCAGAGGCCTCAGCTGAACAGATTTTCTCGTGCTCCCACAGCAATGTCCGGCACGGTGCCTTCTGGCCCGTGCTGAGCACCACAGGGCCCTGCCAAACCGGAAGCAAAAGGGAGGCCTTAGCAGACGATCACATCTTGGTTTCCTACTTAAATGAGCAGTTCATCATCAGTGGTACTTCCCACCCACCCACCCTTTTCTTAAAATTGTGAAATAATTTAGATTGGGAGGGACCTGTGGAGGTCTCTGAAGCTCCACAGACATTACAGGAGTATGTGGGCCACAGCGTCTTCAGACTTTCACCATCACCCTCCAATGCCTCGTTGTGATTTGGGTTTTTAGAGCCCTGTCCCTTCCCGCAGGAAGATCTGTAGAGACAGAAGGAGCAACGGCTTGGACACTGCTCTGGACTTGGTCTAAAATGCCGGCTCCATTACAGACCACAGGAAGGGACTTCAGCCAAGAATTCATGTAGGCTGATCACGAGCTACTGAAACTCTCAGCACACGGCTACGTAACTCTGATCCGACACCCAAGCAGCTCACAAACCTACAGAAGAGCTCCTGAAACATTACAAAAAGTAGGGAACTCTTCACTGGATCCCGTGAAGGAAAAGATCTCTAACCTGCTCTTACACTCTGGAAACATCCTGCTGACTGTTTTGTTTTGCCTTGAACAAATTGCTGCGCCTGGTCTTTTTATCCCCTAGCTCTCCACTGACGAGGCTGAGCTAACACCGCTTCTCTGCCGCCCCAGGAGCCGCGACAACAGACGCGCTGCGGGGCTGCAACGGCCCCTGCGGGCACCGCGGGTGAACCCGAGGCAGCCGCATCCGACCGTGCCCATCTGGGCTGGCCTCCTCTGCGCCAGGGGCAACGCCAACCAGCTTCACTGAGATTCTTCAACCATTTCTATTCCTCACCTTACAGAGAAATGCCCGTACAGATGAGCGGAAAAAAATACAGAGAGGCCTGGGAGTAATGGAACAGAAATGGGAGCTTTCACTGTTATATTTAACCGTGTTAACTGTTTAAATACAGGGAACATTTAGAAATCAAAACTGTCACGTATCACACATACATGGGGTTAATGATGTGAAAACACAGAGAGCAAAACAGATACAGGGGAACCCTGCGAGTGCCACCGAGACCCTGTTCTCCCTTCTGCAGCCCTGGGGTCACAAACGGTGCCCGAGGGCGCGGTGGCGGGACAGTGGGGTGCCCGCCGTCCCCTCCCGGCTGCCGCGCCGCGGGCACCCTCCCCTCCCCCTTTGCACTTTGGGCAATTCCCGTACTGTTTCTTCAGGGAGAAGGAGGTACAGCCTTCGCGTGGGTTGTGCATGTTCCACGTAGCGCTGAGAGCCCACAGCACAACCCCCGGCAGGTACAGCGTCTCCCCGCGTATGATTCATTCCGGATGGAAATCTAGTCCTTACTGTTTTGCCAAATCCTCAGCAACCTCCTGTCAAAGCCCAGAATAAGGACGAAGACATTCATAAAAGATGAACATGTCAAGAGAAGCTTATTAAAAAGCAGGGGCTTGGAAGAGGAAGGAATCTGGCAGCAAAAAGGTTCGAAGCGCTTTCTCAGTGGGGACAGCACGATGCTCTGCGCATCTGCAAGCCTGGAACTCTGAAAGGGAACAGGGTCGTTGTTACCCCAGAAAAAACGATCACAAGGGGAAATGTATGAGAAGCGGTGAATTCATAGCTGGCTATGAATCCAGATAGAGAGTTTAAGCCTTGTTCTGGCCTGATACTAAGGGCAGCACACTGGAAACCCAGCTGCAAAAGGTACTTGCTCATTCAGGCTGGGTAGCCAGACGCTGTCTGACGCTAGCCACGTCACTCCGCCTGCGTCCTCCCTGCTACAGAAAGCAGCGTGCCCTAAGCATGCAATCCCACTGTGCCCTAGCCTTCATCTTCACTCAGAAAGGGAATGAACTACTGTTCAGAGGAGAACATCGGAAAGGCAGCCGGCCTGGGTCCCTTCCTGCCTGAATTATCCCACGGGCCTGTGACAACAGGGAGGTGAGGGGCACCCCTGTGCTGGGCCCTGGTGAGGCCACCCCTCGAATGCTGTGCTCAGCGCTGGGCCCCTCACCCCAAGGCGGCCATGGAGGGGCTGGAGCGTGGCCAGAGCAGGGCAGCGAGGCTGGGGCAGGGGCTGGAGCCCAAGGCTGGGGAGGAGCGGCTGGGGGAGCTGGGGGGGCTCAGCCTGGAGAAGAGGAGGCTGAGGGGAGCCCTCATCGCTCTCTGCAA